ATAGAGGTATAGATCTGAACTCCAAATCCATCTTCGAGCGTTTGATAGAGAAGAGAAAGGTTCTGCGTTTGCGATAGAGGTATAGATCTGAACTCNTCCAAATCCATCTTCGAGCGTTTGATAGAGAAGAGAAAGGTTCTGCGTTTGCGATAGAGGTATAGATCTGAACTCCAAATCCATCTTCGAGCGTTCGATAGAGAAGAGAAAGGTTCTACGTCTGCGACAGAGGTATAGATCTGAACTCCAAACCCATCCATCTGCCGAGGTAATGAGAGATCTGAACTCTCATTTCAGTTTTCTTTTCACTTTTAGGTCACTTCCCTCGTCGGAAGAAAGATCTGAACTCCAAATCCATCGATTTGCCTCAATACTCCCATCTCTCTTTCTATCTGCGGGTATTTCCTGTACGCAAACTGAATAGTTCTGTAATGTATTCACATGCTATTTTAACATTGCTTGATGAGCAGCGATTCTTTTCATTCTGTACACTCTTTTTCTTAGTATTATTCTATACTCTTCTTGGTAGGACCCGATAGCATATAGATGTTTGAAATTTTTTTGGTAATTATAGAGCAATTGCCGATTTTTTTTTTTTATTAAGTTAGAATGCATTTCAACTTTTGTTTACTTTACCTGTTTATTTGTTCTTGGAGATGAGGAGATCTGGGTTGATATTGGCATTACCATTTTTCTTGTTGAGTTTTAAATGCTGTTTTATCTTATTGAATTGATTATACTACAAAAAAATCATCCTTTCACGACGTTTTATTTAAACGTCGTCAAATTGTCTTTTTCGTGACATTAATAATAATTGTCGCAAAAAACGGAGTTTTAGCAACGGTTACCAATAACTGTTGCTAACAAGTATCCTTCCCGCCACCGCCAACTTTTCGCGCCAAAAAATTTGATGACGGTTATAATAAACGTCGTAAAAACCTTACCTTCTAACAACATTTAGTTTATGTTTTAGTGACATTTATGCTAAACGTCACCAAATGTCTATCTCTTTCTCCAAAATTGTTTTATTGTATATATATTATTATTATTATTTAACTTTAAAACTTCTATTAGTTAGTTATGAAATGAATTAATTATAAAGTTAAGTTATAGCTAATTTGAAAATACTTATATAAATAAATATTTAAATTTTTATTAAGTAAAAAGTTTAATTATTAGTATTTCTTTTTAATTTTATTGATGTAGTTAATATTTTCAAATAATCAATTATATTGTTGTTTTTTAATTAAATTTTGTATATTCAAATAAATTTATTTATTTTAAAATTAATTATAATATTAATATTAATTATACTTATAATATATAATATTTTAGAGTATAAAAATTTATTATAATATTTTAGAGTATAATTAATTTATTTTAAAATTAATTATAATATAAAAATTTATTCTTCTTTTTTGTGCTATTGAGTCAAACTTAAGCTCATCGAATATTTAATCAAATGAAACTCAAATCAAAAGATAAAGTTTGAATCAAACTTGAACTCAAACTCAAACTCATGAGTATTTCAGTTGAATCGAGCCAATGCATGTTGAAGTTCGGCTTGACTTAGCTTGACTACACTCCTAATTAAATAGTTGATTGGTTAATATTAATAAATTAGTTATTTAATTATTATTTATTGAATATTAGTTATTGTTTATTTATTAATTATCTAAGTAATTGGTTTTTTAATTTAATTACATTAATAAATAGCTACTTCATTAGTAATTAGAAATTATTATTAGTTAATATTTTTATTTTATTAATACTTATTAATAGCTGATGTTTTTGCTAGTATATTGTTAGTTAATTAATTAAATGTTCTTTCAATGATGGTAAACTCAAGATGTTGAGCCCTACTTGAGCCTAAGTACAAAAAACCTCAAAACTATAAACATTGTTCTAATATTAGGGCTATCATGAATAGCAATTTTCATTGAACTCACCTAAGGTTGTTAATGGATCGAGTCTAGGTGGAGACACATTGTCCTAGTGTATTGTTAGCAATTTTGCTAGTATATTGTTAGTTAATTAATTAAATGTTCTTTCAATAATGGTAAACTCAAGATGTTGAGCCCACACTCAGATTAAGAGTTTAAGTACAAAAAACCTCACAACTAGAAACATTGTCCTAATATTAGGGCTATCATGAATAGCAAGGATCGAGTCTACGTGGAGACACATTGTCCTAATCTTAGGGCTGTCAGTAGACTTGTTCAAGGGTTGGATCAGGCTAGGCTTTGTCTTTGTATTAATAGAATATACTAAGGCCCGAGCCTAAACCCAACCCAATCATCGGGCCTATGTCTTGAGCCGAAGCCTGAACAGAAAGTTAGAACTTTTTTATTCAATAAATAACTATTTTATTTATATTAAAAAACCTCAAAACATAAAAAAATCATGAAAGATCACACTATTACTTGAAAAAAATAGAAGAATAATAGAGAAACAATATATTGCGTACACATTTTTATTATATAAAATATATTTTTATTATATAATACATTATCAAGTTGATCTCGGGCTCAGGCCGGGCATTTTGTGAAAGCTCAAGCTCGGCCCAAAATACTAAATTATATTTAAATAATATATTTTTATTATATAAAATATATTTAAACAAGAACTTAAATTTTAAATTTTGATTATATAACCTTAATTAAAATGAAAAAATACTAAGTTATTTATATATTATTAAATTGAACATTTTAACTAATATTGTCTTATTTATTATCTATTAAATTTACCATTTCATATGATAAAATTTAAAAAAAAAGTAAAATATTATAAATATTTAATAAAATAATTGATTTCAGGTCTCCATCGATTTACAACATATAAGAACCGGAACCCACCAAATTATTAATTAGGACAAAATCTAGAAACCAAAACCTTCGGTCAGTTTGGGTCCATTGGTTAGACCCATTGAATTTATTAATGGGTTTTGACCGTCTAAGTTAATAGGTCAGTTTGGGTCCATTGGTTTGACCATCAAGTCAATCTCGGGCTCAGGCTGGGCATTTTGTGAAAGCTCAAGCTCGGCCCAAAAAAGTATAGACAATACTAAATTATATTTAAATAATATATTTTTATTATATAAAATATATTTAAACAAGAACTTAAAATTTAAATTTTGATTATATAACCTTAATTAAAATGAAAAATACTAAGTTATTTATATATTATTAAATTGAACATTTTAACTAATATTGTCTTATTTATGATCTATTAAATTTACCATTTCATATGATAAAATTTTAAAAAAAGTAAAATATTATACATATTTAATAAAATAATTGATTTTAGGTCTCCATCGATTTAGAACCGGAACTGACCGATTATTAATTAGGACAAAATCTAGAAACCAAAACCTTCGGTCAGTTTGGGTCCATTGGTTAGACCCAATCCATTGACAACCCTACCTTATCCCAAACCTAGGGGGTGCAAAAGGGATTGATCCAATCCAATTCTATTTTGGTAAAATCCAAATCTCCCCTACTTTGGATCTTCGGATCGGATTGGATAATAGGATCCAATGAAATCTGATCGGATTTGGATTACCCCTATCCAATCCGAAAAGATCCGATCCAATATATGTGTTATTTATTTGTTTATATAAATATATAATATATATATATATATTTGTTATTTATTTATTTATAAATATATTATTTATATTGTATTTTTATAAATTTGTTATATTATTTTTTATAAAAACAAATGTATATATTATTGAAATAGTTAAAAAAATACTTGTATTTTTTCTTTATTTAAATTAGTATATTTTTATTTTTCTTTTAATAATTTATTAATTTTTTAAAGATCAGATCAGATCCGGATAGCTGACCTCTTAATAGAATTTGAATTAAGATCCATGTCTATCAAATCCGATCGAATTGCATATGTAATTAATAGTGTAAGATTGGATTCAGATATACCCTGATTTGAATTCAATTCAATCTATTTGCACCCCTACCCCAATTGCTAGAACCAAAACCGACCCAATTGGTTCGGGCCAATTAGGTTCATCGGGTCAGATTGACCCATTGACGGCCCTAGTTCCACCAAGGCCAATCAAGGTCAGTTCAAATAGGATAAACCCTTAAACCCTAGAACTGATCTGGGTGGGGGTTGGTTCCAGCTCTTGGAACCAAAATCGGCCCAATTGGTTCAGGCCAGGTCCATCGGGTCAAACTAACCCATTGATAGTCCTAGTTCCACCAAGGCTAACCAAGGTCAGTTCAAATAGGATAAACCTTTAGACCCTAGAACTGACCTGGGTGGGGGTTGGTTCTGGCTCTTGGAACCAAAACCGGCTCAACTGGTTCAGGCCAGGTCCATCGGGTCAGACTAACCCATTGATAGCTCTAGTTCCACCAAGGCTAACCAAGGTCAGTTCAAATAGGATAAACCCTTAGACCCTAGAACTGACCTGGGTGGGGGTTGGTTTCAAGAATTGGGAATCGGATCCCTACCTTGTAATAAATCGGGTAGGGGGTCAATTCAAGACCGATTCAATGTTAGTTCCATTTGGTTCCAAGTAGAACTTACCCATATCCTTACCCCCAGTATCTAGCAATGTTGAGTTAAGCATGGATTTTCCTTAACATGTAAATTGACTAGGTTAAATACTATTATTAATACCAAACTTAGTTTAAAGATTTAATGTTTTTTGTATTATTTTATTTTTATTTTAAATAGTATTATTAATATTCCATTATTAATTAGTTAATTTTAAACAATAATGGTTTATATTATTCCATATTTTATTTATTATTTTATTATCTAATTAAATAATTAGTTAATTAATTAATATTAATACATAGTAATTTAATTATTAATGAATAATTAATAGTTAATATTTTATTTTATTTTATTAGTTAATGAACCCGGATGCCCAATCCCGCTTGGGCGGCTAGGCCCGCTCTGGAACCCGGCCCGACCTACAGTGATATTTAATTCCCCTTAAACCCCAAAAATTGAAACACCCTCGCATCCGCGCTCTTTTCCTTCTTCGAGATCCTTTTCCCACTACCTCTTTCAGTTTATATTTCCATCTTTCTCCTTTCCTCCTGTGTTTCACCTTTGACGAGGAAAAGCTTGCCGAGCAAGCTGCTCTCTCAGAGGCTTTCGTTTAACGATGCTTTCTCCCAGAGGCTTCTTCTCATCAAGAGCTTCTCATCTTCCATCTTCAAGCTTCAATGCTGAGGTTGTAGGGTGTAGGGTAGTCAAGCATGGAGGCCCGACTAAGAATCTCTCTCTACTAACCCCTATTTTTTGTAGGGAGGTTCAACAGTTGTAGGTGTTGTGCCATTTTGTGCTGGTTTTCAGGGGGATGGGGGTTTCTAAAACTCTCCTTTGAGATTGCACTATTGATCTCTCACTTCCTCTGCAAGTGAAGACGAATGCAGTGGTGTTAGTTTACAGATGCACATCTTCCCATTTTGTTCTAGAAATTTGAGGTATTTATTTAAAATTTTTTTTCCTAGAACTCTCCTTTGAGATTGCACCTTTGATCTATCATTCCCTCTCCCTCCTCTCTCTCTTTCTCTGCAAGTGAAATGGATCCAATTGTGTTAGTTCGTAGGTGCACATCCTCCCTTCATTACGCAGCAAACACACCAAAAAGAAAGATAGATGTCTGAGAGAGATAGAAAGAGCATGTGCACCCCAAGCCACAAGGCAACGAAACCCTAATAAATAGGGTTCGAAACCCCTTTCGCTTGAAGCTAGCAGCTACCGTTTTTGGTGCTATTGAGACTTTAGTAATTTTCATTCAAATTTGCCTTTTGGTTTCACTTTGGAATGATGCTGCTGAGCTGTAATTTTTCTTTTTCAATAAGTTTAGCTGAAGCTCCTTGTACCTTGGCTGCAGAGGAAATCTCTTCGTCCTATGTTTCTTGTTTCGATGAATGGAATTTTGCCACTTTTCAAAAAAAAATCATATTTGTTTTTTTTTTGTTTACATTAATCACTTTTTTTGGATTCAGGTAAATGATTTGATGTATTTGTTTTCTTGTGTAATTTTCAGGGCCCCTGGGGCTCGGGTTCTCTACCTCAGTGGTTCTCCAGGAACAACAGTCTCACATGTCTCTCACATCGTTAGACCAGTAAGTGGGGCTTTATCTGTTGTTTACTCTAATATAAAGACATTTTCTATTTTTCTTATTTTCATTTGTTTGCTTGATAGAGAGGTATAACCTATACTGGGGGCTTGTTCCTTAATAGTTGGTTTGTGTAATTTTCTGGATCCTTACGTTTCTTGTTGTCTTTATTTGCCTCTTCATGTTTCCCCCCTCCTCTATCCTCGGGAAGAAAAAAGAATTACTACAGTTTCTATTAAGCAGGTTATATAGTTGAAAAATCAAATCAAGCCATCCACACCGCAAATAACTAGCTACTTCATTGGACATCCTAGAGAAGAATGTCATCGATGCAAGGTCAAAAAGAAAGGTGGAAGAGAAAGCTTTAAAGATGTAGGCATCCAAATGGAACCAAATGACATAGCAAATTGTGAAACAGTGTTGGGATGTGAGGTTAAATTGTGTCCCCTTAATTATTTGAGATTGCCTTTGGAGAAAACCCAAGATAGATATCCTTTCGAGAGGTTTTCAAAAAAAGTTGGCAGCATGGAAATTTATCCAGGGTTGTTCCTTTCTCACAACATTTGAGGTATGATTCAATATCTGGAGCAAGGGTAAAGTTCTAGGAAGATCTATGGTGGGGGGATCACTTCTTGGCCCAACATTTCCTAGAATTTACAACCTCTTAACTTTTAAAATCAGTTCCATAACCCATTTCTGATGTGGTTTCCACGATTTAGTCCCATTGCTGATTTGGATTTAAGGAGGGTTTGAGAGATTCCCCAAAAAAAAAACAGATGAATGTGCCTCTCTACTAGAAAATATAAATGATGCTTCCTTTGACTCTTCCATTGTAGATGAAAGGGTACAGATTCCAAATCATAGTGGACAACTCTCTTTCACTTCTTTAAAACCCTTTACCCCTCAACTGACATGTTCCATTTTCCAATCAAAGCTTTGTGATGTGGTCTTGTGCCCCAAAGGTGAAATTTTTTTGTTGGGAAATAGCGAATCAAGTTATAAGCACTATGAGAGACTCCAAAGAAAACAAAAAACTTGGTGCATATCCCCTAATGTGTGTGCTCAATTCCTTGGGGAATGGAGAAAACACCATCTTCTTTTGAATTGTCACCATGCTACCCAGGTGTGGAACTGTTTCTTTACTCTATTTAAGTGTGTTTGGGCAGCTCCACCCAAGGTCTCAGGTTGATTATTACAAATGATTGGATTGATGTGACAGTGAAAGGGGATTGCAAAATAGTAATATCTTGAACAGAAGATATTTCATTGAGTTAGACCCATGTTGAGACAGGCACTTAACCTACCCAGAAATTTGAACATCTCAGTCAAATGGATGCCTAGACCCTAATGTGCTAGCTGATAATTTAGGAAAACCAAGGGCTGCAAGAGAGTCTGTGCTTTTGTGTTGTGTAGCCTCATTTTTTGGCTTTGCATGCATTGTAAGATGGTCTCCTCTGTTGTTGTAGAGTCTTGCCACTTGAGCACTTTTCAATTTAGTAACTTCGGAGTCTTTTTTATCAATAACAAAGATAAAAGGATTCGTCAACTTTAAGAGAGTATACCCCTCCCTAGTCCTTTGTATTTCTTTCTATATTGAAAGTTTAATGAAAGTTTTGTTATTGATAAAAAAAGCATTCATGAATAGAATCACCAAAAGCAAAAGTAAATAAAGCCTGCAATAGATAAATTAAGAGAGTTGCTCACCAACCTCTTTTTTTCTTATTTTCTATTTTTGTTATTTTCTTCAGAGTTAAAGTAGTGTGAATAGTGTTGGTGTTAAAAAAAGGAAAAGAAAAAAAACCTCAGCCAATACTTTTGTTGATTAGCAGGTTCTTTTATAAAATTTCTTTTCAAGTTCTTTATGGAATAATGATGTAGCCTCATTGGTTTTGGTTATTCCTTTACTTTTGCTTCTTTATAAATCTTCACTTGTTATTTTCTGTTTGAATTGATATATCAAAATGTTAGTACTTACTACCATTTTTCTAACTTGAATTTTTAATTCACATGCCAACCAAGAAGTTGCTGTCATGATTGGTACAAATGATCGAATCCTAAATAGGTGGGCACAAGTTGTGAAAAAGTGGAGCTTTCCTCCACTTGTTGGAGATGGATTTAACAACCTTGTAGTGGGTCCTCTCTTGCACATGTAATAAGTAGGGAGAGGGAGAATGCCAATGTGAATTGAAGGGGAAATCCCTTCATTTTGTATGATATTTGTTTTTCTTTTTGTATAATTTTTTTATGTTTAAACATAAACATTTAATTGTAAATGATTTTTTATTAATTAATATTGAATTTTAATATATATTTTCATTGTTAATTAAATGGTTATATGAACGAATGTAGATGATTTAAAATTATTTGGATACTAAAAAAAGAAAAATTAGGAAAAAAATTTAGCTTTTGGCGACATTTGATAAATGTCGTTAAAGGTGTTAGGACACTTTTCGGTGACGTTTATTAATGTCATCAAAAGTTGCATAGTTTTATCTTAAAAATGCAATGCAAATTTTGGTGACATTTATCAGTGGCCTTTGGTGACGTTTATAAACGTCACTAAAATGACACTTTCGGTGATGTTTATAAATGTCGCCAAAGCCGCGTCTCAACGACTTTGTAACATTTTTTTTGATGTTTGCAAATGTCGTCAAAAAACACCACAAACGTCGTCAAAACTTTTTGAGACTTTTATAGGTGCAACGTTTGTGCAAACGTCGGGAAAATATTTTGGTGACGTTTACCTAACGTCGTTAAAACCTCAACTTTTTTGTAGTGTTAATTTAAGTTTCATTCTATAATACAGAATAATAAGTTTCATCACATCATATCAGTTTCTCTTTTTTTTTCTTCCTTTCTATTTTATTTGGCAATGTTGTCGTGTGATTGGTTGTGTTCTATGTGATCTAGATTAGGCTTCTATTTTAGATTTGTTGGATAAATCTAGGAAGAACAAAGGTTGCTGCTGGGACAACTGTTCTGACTTTTTATATTTAGAACAGAGATTGTTGCACCTGCACCTGTAAAACTAACACCAGACCCCAAGGGAAATGGGAGGAGAGAATGGCTTGTTATCTCACACCTCACATCACAATTCTCTTTGATTTTGGTGAAGCCTGAACCTCTGAAGGTTGTTATGTTAAAACAGTCTGACTCGAGCCAAACCCTCTTCCCACATTCAACTCAACTCCACACAACTTTTAGCTTAGCTCGCCGACCATCTTCACAAATACAACAGGTCCAGAATCACACTTCACATTTACATTTTCAATTTGTTTATTTTTATTTTTATTTTATTTTTGTAATGTATTGTTGTATTAGTTGGGGGGCGAGTGAAACAGTAAAAAAGGCTGTATCATCTGCCAGGTTGGCTCCATTAATAGGGGGATGAGGAGAAGAGTAAAAACATTAAAAAGCAATTTGGAAGAATAAGGGATGTGATTGTGAAACGAGAGGAGGTTGATTTGTTTGTTTTGGGCAATTGGGACCTGGGAGAATGATCCCCAATATAAATGATTCTTGTGTACTCCTTGCCTCGCTAGGACATCTTCCATGCTGCTTGCTGATTGTTAAGTCCACTCAGAAACTGTCCTAAATTCTGTGGCCAAATATATCACCTCCCTTAAAGATGTGACTCTATGCCCAAGGGCCCATGCTATATTGTGTTGGAACTTGGAACTATTTTAAAACCACCCTAACCCCCCTTCCACACTATATCTCTATATTAGAGATTTATTGTATAGTACACCCTAATATGATGTGGACATGGATGATTGGTTCTCTGTGGATTCATTACCCTTTTAGTGGGTTATCAATAATTTCACATATGGAGTTTAATAATAAAATTCCATATATGGAGTTTAAATATGTTTGTAAGAATTACCCTATTGGCTATGTATAGTCAATGACTCAATGCCTTCTAAAAATATATTCTTCCTGTTAGTAGTATTGTGCTATTACTTGGTTATATGATTTCTAAGCCTTCATTTCGTTTTTGCTTTTGCTTGGCAGTTCTTCAGATTGATTGAAACAACATTTCTCTCCAATTTGATGTTGACTGGACAACAGTTTTGTGAAGATTGGTCAACACTCAAAAAGAAATACATTAGCCTTTTTGAGGATGATTTGGTGCGATATTGCTTCTCTTCATCTTATATATGATATTTGATGTAGCGCGATTCAGTTATTTCTAGTTGGCATTCACGTGGCTCCTGAAAGTTATCTGAGATGAAGAAGAAGAAGAATCCCCGGGGAATTTACTCGGTGGGGATACTCCGATGCTTAAGTTAGTATTCTGTAGGAGAAGCAAAAAGGAGATGAAGGCTAAGAGTGCATATAGCGCGTTCTTACTATACTCGAGAGATCAGAGGTCTCAAGAAGAAGTTTATCTTCTGCCCTGAGGGCTTTTATAGGGGCACTCATGCCAGGTCGGGCATAACTGCCATTGGGCTCCTGCAACAGTCGTTACCGGCCAGGGCTGCGTAGGTGGCCGTTGTGGCGTACGTCTCGCCCGGGTGAGTGACACGTCTCTAAAGCGGCAGGCACGCCTTTGCCTGTTGAGAGACGTGGATGCAGACTGCCAAAAGGACTAGGATTGCGGCATCAGTAAGGGATATGGTGCAGTCTGATCGGTACGGTCAGTCAGTCAGAAGCTTCCTAAGGAGTGCTCATGCGGTTCATTTGCAAGCTATTTTGAGAGAGCTTGGAACACTCTAGGATTATCTTTAGTAGAATTGGTCATTGGGATGACTTATTTGTTTGGGAGCTTGGACGAGTTAATAATTTTAGCTCGCGAGTTAAATTTGTTTCGGAGTATCTCTTCAAAGGTAGCTCGGGGAACCCGGAGCTCGTGTTGTGACGAATTTTTCCTCTTGTGAGCTATAATGTAGCGAGCTGCTTTATGGGCCCGTCACTTGGTCGCACCAGGCTACCACTTTGAGCTGTTGCTCATGCTAAGTCAGTGTCCATGTGTCACCATTTCATAGGTTGGGTCAAATCGTCATCCATTAATTGCCCCCCACTCCTCGGGCTGAGAGCACTGTTTTAGCGCGATGGACTGATTTGACTGAAATTCAAACTTGATTGACTACTCACATTAAATGCATTCGCGGGAATCAAGAGATTTTTTGACTTTTTAGATTCCGAAAACGTGCTGAAGTGGCTCTTAACTCTGAACGTCGTGTGGCCGCGATTACCTTAATCATGGAAGACGTGCTGCCAATCACTTTCAGTTTTCAAAAGGCTTGTGGTCAGTGCGCTCGCGGGCCGTTAGATCTGCTTTGATTTGTGCCGTCAATTTGGGAGAGTGAAGACTATAAATAGGGGGCCTTCTGGGCCTCATTTTCTCCCACACCATCTTGTTGTCTTCGGATTCTAAGGTCACACACTTTATCTAGTCTACCCGAATTCCTCAGTTTTGCTTTGTTTCGTCTCTTCTGGTGAGTCCCAATTGTTGTCAACTTTGTCTGGGTACCCATAGCACACCTACCACTGGGGCGATAACTAGGACAACGATGCTCCCTCGAGCTCGCGAGGAGCCTGGGAGCAGATCTCGGAGGCTCGGGAGGCCTCTGGCGATGTAGCATCTACTTCTAGGGGAGGGAGCCTGACACTTTTGACTCCTCCTCCATGACAACGGAGAGACTTAGGTCTCTAATCCGCTACTTTCGCCTCCCTGGGGACCTAGTCTACAGCCTCCCTACTGGCAACTTCCCTTGGGAACATGGTCCCAATGACATAGTAATCTTTCAGGAATAGCTTGAGGCTGGTTTGCGTCTTCTCCAACACCCCTTGATAGTGGAGGTGCTAAATCATTTTAACGTCACCATTGACCAGTTTCATCCCAACGCCATTCGAAACATGGTTGGGACTATATCTTTGTGTTACGAGTACTGTCTTCCCTTGAACCTTGATATTTTTGCCTCTATCCTTTGTATAAAAAATGTTGCTCCTGGGGTCCCTTCGGAGAGGCGCTTTTACTACCTCTCTCCCCGTTCCGGCTATAACCTTTTGTACGAGCTGCTGAATAAGATTCTCGCCTGGAAGCGGGATTACTTTGTGGCCCGCAACCCTGAGGGGTGGCCCTTCCCAACTTCTTGGAGGGACGCCATCTAGGACCCCGGAGCCGAGCTGGGCCCCGAAACTTGGAAAACGATGTTGTCCTGGTTATCGGTAGGCTTCCTCTGCTCGGACTATTTGGCCGAGGAGAAGCTCGTGCAGGCTGGCCTGAGCCCGGGTAGGTTGTCTTTTTAGGTCGCGTGGTTTCTGTAACGACATCGTACTCACATTCGCATGCATATATTTCATTCTTATTGAACTAACATTGATGTTCTTTTTGGCAGCCATCATGTCTAGTACTGATTCACGTCGCCTTCTCTCGAGCAACCAGAGGCGCCAAGCGAAGAGGACGCGCCCCAAGCGGACTCCCCCCTCGAAAGGTATTGAGTTCGGGTCTGCCGAGCCGGTTTTATCCTCCCCTCCGCCTGAGATTCCGACACCCCCACTCAAGGGAACTAGTGAGGTTGGTTTCGGAGGGGATGAGCTCTCTCAGCAAGGGGAGGCTCCCTGTAACCCCCTCCAGCCACGCCCTTACCCCCAGTTCCTAGTGGGAAATTGGGAAGGGGTGAACGGCTACCTCGTGGCTTGTCGAAGGAGCCAGAAGGCGATTAGTAATGACGAGGTCGCTCACTTGGGGAAAATGGAGCCTAGGAACCTCGCCGCGTTCGCTTCCGCCCACTGGCATGGTGGTAAGTGACTCATTTCTTTTTTCTTTTCTCATTTTGCTCCCTTTCACTGTCCTTTGATCTTCTTTTCTGTTGGCAAGTGAATTCCGCCATCCATGCCATGGCTCTCCAGACGCGTGTCCACCGCGGCGACGCCCTCGACCAGTGGGCTGCTAATAAGAAGCTCCAGGGCGAGCTCGACCGGATCCGGGGCGAGCTCCATCACACTCGCAAGGGGAGCGAGTCTCAAGAGCTGCTCATCCACGACCAGGAGGCTCAAATTGCCCGGCTTTCTGAAGAGAGCGCGCGTTACAGGGAGGAGTCATCGAGGGTGGTGGCGGAGAGGGAGCTCATCAGGCAGCAGGTGCGGGACTTGGAGTCCCCACTCTTCTAGATCGGACTCGAAATTTTGATCAGATGGTGGAGGTTAAACGAGAGAAAGCGATCTAGGATTTTAGAGACTCCCAGGAATACCATGACCTTCAGGTGGAATATGGTTTGTGTTTGTATCGCTCTGGTTTTAAGCTTTGTCGGTGGCTAGTTCGAAAAAAGTTTTTCGGGCTCAACTTCGACGGTATCACTATGAAGGGTCTATCTCCTGAGATGGCGGACCAAGCGGAGGAAGAGGAGCCTGACTCCCCAGAGGATGAGGATGAGGAGGCGGATCCTTGAGATGGTGTTTCTCTAGACTTCTGGGTGTCATAAACCCAGTATTTCAAAGGTCTTTGGTTGGGCGGTTGTGCCCTATGATAGTCAAACTTTCTCGAGTTGTTTAGCTCGGTTATTGCATTGTCATTTTTCTTTCTCTCTTTTTTTTTTGAAATGATAATGAAAGTTCTCCCTTTTTTCTTCCAAGTATGATGTGCTCTCTTTATCTTTGCTAAGGCGATCTCAACACCAAAACTATTAGAGCTACATACCCGATGTAGGACTCCTCGATAATCGTTATCTCGAACTGTTCCTTAAATCATTTAAGGCATCTCTATGGTGCACGACAAAGTGATTACCACGTGTGATCGAACTATATGCTCGTTGATTATTCTCTAGTTCGATCATCGTACTAGAACAAGCTATGCTTAGTGGGGTTTAAGCCCGAGTTGCTTACACTCCTCACTTGAAGTTCGCCCATGTCATGGAGACGACTGTGTCTGATTGCGTCGAGATCGTGTTAGTTCGGCATTTTGGCCCTTAGGCTCTGGGAGTGACTTATAGTCCACTTTTGAAGTTCGCCCGTGCCTCAAAAGCGACTGGGTCTTATTGTGCCGAGATTGTGTTAGCTCGGCATTTCGGCCCTTAGGCTTTGGGAGTGGCTCGTGGCTTACTCAGTTGTTACAGATAGTATTGTCTTAAGTTGACAATATTCCATGCCCGAGGTACTTGTTTCCCTTCGAGGGTCTCGAGCTCGTACGTTTCTTCCCTGAGTATTCGTTTCACTTGGTAAGGTCCTTCTCAATTAGACCCAAGCTTGTCAGCGCCGGGCTCAGGTACCATAACCTTTCGAAGAACCAGGTCGTCGACGTAGAGGTTTCGCTTCTTGACCCTGGCGTTATATTACCGAGCTACTCTCTGCTGGTAGGCTGCAGTCTTGATATACGCGAGGTCCCTTACTTCGTCGAGTAGATCGAGGTTGGTACGGAGCTCATCTTCATTTGTCTGATCACTGTATGCTTMTAGTCGCAGCGTAGGGACTTCGATCTCTGTGGGGATAACTGCTTCAGTACCGTAGGTGAGGTTGAAGGGTGTTTCTCCCATAGCGGTCTTTTCTGTGGTCCGGTAGGCCCATAGGACACTAGGTAACTCATCTGCCCACAACCCTTTAGCCCGATCTAGCCGTGCCTTCAGTCCGCGGAGGATGGCTCTATTCGTGACTTTTGCCTAACCGTTTGCTTGAGGGTGTGCGACTGAAGTAAAATTCTGTCGGATTCCCATGTCTTGGCACCAGTCTTGGAATTTGATGTCCTCGAACTGCTTGCCATTGTTAGAGATTAGTACCCGAGGTAACCCGAAGCGACAAACAATGTTCTTCCAAAAGAAGTTTTGGATGTTTCGAGCTATGATCGTTACAAGGGATTCATCTTCTACTCACTTGGTGAAATAGTCCACTACTACTACTAAGAACTTCCTCCCACCCGTTGCTGGCGGGAATGGCCTGAGTAGATCGATGCTTCATTGTGTGAAGGGCCACGGGTTGGTGAGATACTTGAGATCGGCGACAAGTTGGTGGTGAATATTGGCGTGCTTCTGGCATTTATCGCATTTTTTAACAAGCTCAATAGCGTCTGCCTTCATTGTTGGCCAATAATACCCCTATCGAAGTGCCTTCTAGGTGAGGGCCCTGCCCCCCAAGTGTCTGCCGCACAATCCCTCGTGAGTGTCGCGAAGTACGAGCTCGGCTTCGGTAGGTCGCAAGCAACACAAGTAGGGGAGCGTGTAAGATCTCCGGTATAGTCGTTTGTCTATCATGACATATTTGACTGCCTGGCGCTACACCCTTTTGGTTGCATTGCGGTTTGCAGGGAGGGTCCCGTGTAGCAAGAAGCTCGCGAGCGGGTCAATCCAGCTCGGCTCTGCTTGAACGACGGGAGCGACCTCCTTTGCCCCCTTGAGAATGCTAGGCCGAGGCAAGTCCTCTATGTACACGGTTCTCATGGTGATGTCGCGGGCGCTAGCTAATCTAGACAGGGCGTTGGCCTCAGCGTTCTCCGACCTTGGGATTTGCTTGATAAAATGTGACTGGAAGTTGAGCAGGGCCTCTCTGACTTTGGCTAAGTAGGCTATCATGGTTGGCTCGCGAGTTTCGTACTCACCGGTGACCTGGTTGACCACGAGTTGGGAGTCGCTGCAGATAACGATGTGCTTTGCTTTTACTTCTCTGGCTAGAGCTAGTCCAACCATCAATGCCTCGTATTCCGCTTCATTGTTAGATGCCGCGAACTTGAAGCGTAGTGCGTACTCCAGTTTCGTGCCACTTGGGCCGTGTAGAACTATTCCGGCTCCGCTGCCCTATTGGTTCGAGGAGCCATCTACGTGTTCGTACTCACCGGTGACCTGGTTGACCATGAGTTGGGAGTCGCTGCAGATAACGATGTGCTTTGCTTTTACTTCTTTGGCTAGAGCTAGTCCAACCATCAACGCCTCGTATTCCGCTTCATTGTTAGATGCTGCGAACTTGAAGCGTAGCGCGTACTCCAGTTTCGTGCCACTTGCGCCGTGCAGAACTATTCCGGCTCCGCTGCCCTGTTGGTTCGAGGAGCCATCTACGTGAAGGATCCAAGTTTCCTCATCCCAGCTCGCGCTTGGCCGAACTAGGAGAGATGCCACATTGGCTGCTACCTCACGGGGTTCGGACTCGACCGGCTTGGGAGCCTCGGGCTCACTCGAGCTGGGAGCCTCGTGCTCAACCGGCCTGGGGACTCCGGAGCTGAATGTGCATTCGGCTATGAAATCTGCTAAGGCTTGGGCCTTAATGGCAGTTTGCGGCTTGTACTAGAGGTCGTACTTGCTGAGCTCAACGGCCCACTTCGTCAACCGACTAGAGACCTCGGGCTTAAGTAAGACTTGCCTCAGAGGCTTGTCGGTGAGAACGATAACAGTGTGAGCCTGGAAGTACGGGCGGAGCTTCCGAGCTGCAATTACCAGTGCGTATGCCAGCTTTTCTATCTCTAGGTATCTCGTCTCTGCTCCCTGCAATACTTTACTGACATAATAGATGGGTTGTTGAACCCGATCTACTTCTTTTATTAGTACCGAACTGACCACTTCGTCGTTTGCCGAGAGGTAAAGTTCTAAAATATCACCCTCCTCAGGCCGGGTTAAAATCAACACTAGCGAAGTATTTCTTGAGCTCGTCAAACGTGAGCTGACAGTCTTGGGTCCATTCGAACCCTTTGCTTTTGATTGCCTTAAAGAACGACAGACAGCGGTTCGTCGATTTGGACATGAAGCGGCTCAGGACGGTTATGCGGCCATTCAACCTTTGAACCTCCTTCAACTTCTGGGGTCGTTGAACCCGATCTCCTTCAACGCCGGTTAACGATGTATCCTAGGAACTTACCCGAGGTCACACCGAATACACACTTGTTTGGGTTCAATCTCATATTAAACTTGCGCAAAATTTCAAAAACAAAATGCAAGTCTTGTATTAATTCATGTGAAAATTGAGTTTTGATGACCATGTCGTCTACATAGCATTCTACTTTTCCGCCAATTAGTGGCGCAAACAACTTATTTACAAGCCTTTGAAAGGTTGTTCATGCGTTTTTCAACCCGAAGGCAGTCTTTTCTTCGTCCGCCGGGTCCATCTTGATTTGGTTATAGCCTGAATGGGTGTCCAAGAAACTTAGCAACTCGTGCCCTGAGGTCACGTCCACCAAGCGGTCAATTTTGGGGAGTGGGAAGCAGTATTTTGGGCAAGTCTGGTTTAGGTTGGTGTAGTCGACGCATATGCGCCACTTACCGTTGGCCTTCTTTACCAGGACGGGGTTGGCTACCCAACTAGGGTAGTGGACTTCTCTTATGAAGTCAGCTGCGAGGAGCTTCTTGACCTCCTCGTCGACCGCTTTCCACCGCTCCGGGGCTAGGTTGCGTTTCTTCTATCTAACGGGCATAACTGCAGGATCAATATTCAGCTTGTGAGTCATAAGGTCGGGGTCTATACCGGGCATCTCTGTCGCGGACCATGCAAAAATATCTAAATTTTGAAGTAAGAAGCTTACCAGTTCGGATCGTAGAGGTTTCTAGACGGAAGCACCAATCTGAAGCGTCCGAGCTGGGTCGGCTGCTGAGGTCGGGACTGCGACTGTTTCTTCTGTGGGCGTGGCTCGTTCTTCGCCTTGCTTCGTAGGCCGTTCCAGTTCGAGATCGTCGGTCACCTTGGTCTTTCCCTTCAAGGCGGCGACATAGCACTTGCGGGACTCGAGCTGGTCGCCCCGCGCTACCCCCACACCGAAGTCTATTGGGAACTTCATAGCCAAATTATAGGTAGAAACCACCGCCCGCAGGACATGGGTGATCGGCCGGCCTTTTATGGCATTGTATGGGGAGGGGGTCGCGACCACCAGGAAGTCGTGTTCGAATCTAACTACGCAAGGCCATGTGTCGACTTCCACATGTACTGTTATTTTCCCAAGGGGCCGGACTTCTTCTCCACTGAAGCCCACCAAAGGAGTGTTCGCAGACTTCAGGTCGCTTCTCTACAACTAAAGCTGGTCGAACGCAGCTTTGAAGAGGATGTCGGACGAGCTGCCCGAG